TTTTTCTATTTTCTGTTGCATTTTATTTTCCCGTTTAAGTTCACACAGCGTCGCTTTGGGTCTGTCTAAGACGACATCGTTCCCCGTGTTACATAAGGGCTATAAATGTACTCTGCATGACAATAATGAAGCTGAGTGAAAAATAAGATTTCCACATTCTGGGATTTACAATTCTACAAATGTTGTGCTTTGATGCTGTTTTTGGTTTCAATTCAGGGAATGAAACGTTCAGTTTTTTTAGGCCTCGATGTTGTGTTTTCACGCCTAACTATTTGTAGAGAAGAGCAAGTTAATGCATGTTTAGTCAATTTGGTTAAGTGCCTGAAGCTTGTTTATTTATGTGTCTTGGGCTGCTAAATTATGTTAAATTGTGTTGATTTGGCCTTGAATTGTGAGTGTATGAAGCCTCATTTTGTTTTGTTAGTCAGACATGAGAGAAGTGTATTGTTGCTGAGATTAATGTTGAGTTCCAATGTTTTAGAGAATTTTTTTTTCTTGTGTGCTTTATTTAAAAGAAAAAGGGAGCTTATGTTTTGAGATGTTGCCCTGTTAATCATTAAATCAGCCCTGTTTTGTTTTGAAGCTTTCAGAGCTGATTGTTGTGAGATTTTTATGTTAAATTCATGCCTAAGTTGCAGCCTCTGTTGAGTTGTTATGCATGTGTAAATTTGAAGTTAAGAGGCATGATGTGTTGGTTTTATATCATGTGAGTTTTGGTCGGTTCTGCTCGAGATTTAGCCAAGCTGTCAGCAGCAGTTTTATCTGTTCTAATTTCTGTTTGTGTGATTCTCTGCTTATGTGACTTTGTTTGTCCTTTCCTGTCTTAGTTGCCGATTTTTTGTCACCCTTTAAAAATTAGGTAGATAAATTCAAATTGTAGATTAAGAGAAGTCAAACCCTCAATCAGACGCACATATGTTCACTCATTTCACCCAGTCAGTAAGTTTAAAGGTGGGGGTTCTATACTATGGTTTATTCTTTATACACATGTGGTAGTATAGTTTTGATATGCATGATTGCGGCCTGTTGGGCCAAGTATGATTGTGAGAATTTATCTGGGGGCTTGAAATAAAAGTCAATTAGCCGGATAATGATATGTTATAGACCAACGTTCATGAACATAGGTTAACGGCGTATAATAGTCAGTTAGTCGAGTATATTCTGGGGGCTTGAAATAAGAGTCGATTAGTCGGGTCTACCTGGGGGCTTGAAGCTGGGGGCGTATAATAGCTAATTAACCGGATAGATAATGGGGGCTTGAAATAAGAGTCAATTAGCCAGGTCTACCTGGGGACTTGAAGTCGGGATGATATCAGTCAGTGGTGAGACAGTGGTGAGACAGTAAGTTTTGTATGTTTGTATAATTACTATCCTATATATATTTATGTTGAAAGATTCTGGGGGCTTGAAATAAGAGTCAATTATCCGGGTCTACCTGGGGGCTTGAAGCCGAGTTATTATCTGTACATAAATGAGATGGAATAACTTTGCATGACATATGATTATTACTCTATCTATGTTTAACTGAATCGATGCATAGTATGAATTTTACCACTGAGACGAGAGACGGTGCTCACCTCTTTTTTTTTTCAGGTTGAACGAGCTGACGGCGGACACGAGAGGACGGGTGTGGTCGTCATTAATTATGTTATTAGATTTCCGCAAACTATGTTGAATTTTAAATTCAATTTAGATGTATAAACTAGGGTTTGATTAATCGTAACATGTTTATTTTGAAATGTTTATTTATGTCTTGAAAGAAAAATAGTGTTTGAGTAATGTCCGTTTAGTTTTAAATAAATAAAAAAATTATATATTTAGATTTTTCTTAAAATTCGTGTTTTCTTTTAAATAAATAAGCGGGAGTTATAAACATACTGCCCCAACTGAACTTAATTAACAGTCCACCTTTTGGCTAGCGCAAAATAAGAACAACCTTTTTCTTTGATAATATCATAATTATTTGTACTTTAAGTGTCACCCATTAATTGGTCCTAAGTTTACTACCAAAATTATACGTCTATCTTTGGGTGACCCTATCTCACTATAACCATCTCGTAGGAGATTTATCCTTATGAACTTGTGAATAAAACGTTCTTTGGGCTCGATTTAATTACTTTATTGACAAACCTATAATGGAGGTCGTGGATACAATTTATTTTAATCTATTCCCACTTAATATATTAAATTAAGTAATTTTCTTAAACATGCTCTTAATAATTCAATTTGCACATAAAGCAATTAAATAAAATAAGGACATGCATAATTAAAAGCAATGATAAACGAGGAACTAAAATCCAAATACCATAACCATTTAATTAATTTCCAATCTTTCGGAGAAATGCAATCCCTGTCCTTGTCGAACTGACGTCTTTCTTTTCGGGACTTGGAATTTTCTTTTTTCGCCGTGACTTTCACTTTTAGTCTTGAACAAGTCGTCATCGGGTCTTCACCATTGGCGTGTGCCTACTGCCGCCGTCGCCCGTACTTCTGTCGACCTAAGTCCGTGCGTATCCATTTACAAATACCTTGACAATGCTCGTACTTGACAGCAAGCTGCCTACGAGTATGTCTGCATTTGCACGGTACCACGTGTCCCATCAACTGCGGGTTCGCGGGGTAGCCCGCCTCGTCTCATCGAGAGATGTCCGCATTTACTAGGTCCAACGAACAATTACATACTATAAATTATATAAAATACAACTAGGTCGCTTAAAAGTATCAAATTTCCTAAAAAAAAAAAAAACTATAATCAACTTTGCAGCCTGTGTATTAGGTTAGTCCACAACAACCGTCGACTTCCCTTGTTCGCTGGCGTATGGACGGAGGTCCTCCTGTCGCTGTCAGGCGCGGACAACGCAGCCGCCATGCTAGATAATAGATGATCCCTCAGCCATGCCTCTGTCGGCCACAGTTGCAGAGAAGTCTGATTGTTTGCATCTAGCACGTTAGGGATCTCTACTCACCGGACGATGAGATGATTAATGAATTCGATGTGGCACGTCATTTTGGTTCGTGTATACGGCGGTTGAAGCAGCGCCAGAGTGTACTACATGTATGAAGACGTCAACAGCGAGCAGATGCGACAACGACGGATGAGACGATAGAGTGCCGACGTCTGATTTTTGTGGGCGGCGATGGTGGTGCGCCGATGGGGGGGGTCAGAGGCTGATACGGTAGGCTACAATGTGTAGGTGTGTGAAACTGTGTGTGCAGGCCGTTGTACTAGGTGTGTGGTGTGTTTGAGAGAGAGATGGTGAGTGGGATGGCGTAAGGTAGTGGCCACGTGACATGTAATTATTGGGTGGGTGAGTGGGTAATTGGTATGGGTCCCATGGTTTAGTTATAAAATGTTCAAAATACCCTTAATGCATATATAAATGCTGGATTTTTTATATTACCGTTGGATCATTTTATTTGATGGCTAATATTTATTTTTATTTCATTCACTGGGTATTTTTCTCACTGAAGAGCATCCTTATATATAAATATATAATTCTTCATCCAATCAACTCTTTACCCTATCACATGCACAACTACCAAATACTAATTTTGTAATTCATGCACCAAATCACAAAAGATATAATTGAGTATAGTTCACTTCACTCTTTCATCTCTATTTCCAAAGGTTACACGAATTGAACCCACTGAAAGTAGACAGATAATAATTTATATACATTTGCATGGTGATATTGAGATGCAATTAATCATCCATGTATCAAATAAAGATTTTTACATTAATTAATTGACGTCCGTGAGATATGTGAGGTTATTTTCGATAACATGCTCAGCTTTCCCATTTGGTTGTCTAGGTGATTTTTCACTGTGAAAACTCCCAAGCAGTTCTTCAAAGGACTGCGTTTTGAGTATCTCAATGGAAAGAGTGGTCGGGAGATTTATCGATCTCTTAGGTGGGGTCGAGCATGATTGTTGATCCACCTATGTTAATAAACGTAAATAAAACATACATGAAATAAAAAAATCTAGCTTAAATGTTTCATGGTTAAAGGTAATATGTTCTGGTAAAAAAAGAAAAAAAAAAAAAAGAATGCGTGATATGATGATTTGGTTTCTTGCCTTGTAATCTTGAATGAGGCATTTTCCTGCATTTTCTGTGATTTCCACAATCTTTCGGTGATGTGCGTTGTCGAGATCCCTCAGGTCTCCACGACAAGGGCTAATAATGGACTCGAGTTTCTCACATGCCTCGTGGTCAAGTTGTAATGAACCTGAAAGTGAATTTTCTTCATAC